CCCCCAGAGCACAGGAAGGGGACTGGGCCTCCAGTGAGTCCCGTCCTGCATGTCCTCCCTTTCCCAGCCTGGACTGACTGGTGCACACAGCCTGCTGACTAGGGAGTCTTGGTCCTCGGGATCCTATGGTCAGGACTAGGACCTACTCCTGGTCCCAGGCAAATTCAGTGGGAGGTAAGGGTACGGGGGATGCAGGGCTGCTCTGGGAGGGAGGAAGAAGGGCTTGTGTGATGGTGCCCCAAGCCCCACTTCCCAGGAGCATGAAGACGTCTGGACCACCTTGCATGAAGAACACACAAATCCACTGGAGAGCAGCTCAGTCCTCAAAAACCACAAAGGTGGCGGAAGAGGCACTGTCTTGCTTAGGGGCACTGGACCCAGTTAGGGTGTTGGGTTGAACACAGCCAGTGCAGCCTGCCTGGTCAGATGTGTAACCAAAGAGGGCCCACTGGGAACAGAGGACTCACAGCAGCTCTGTATTTTGCAACTTTTATGTAAGTTTAAACCAATTTCAAAGTGAAGTTAAAAATAAGTTGTAAAACAGCAGATTCCAACACCCTTGGCTAGGGACTGAAGCTCTGACTGCACTGCCCCCAAGCTCAGGGCTGTCTGGGCACATCCTTAGCCTCACAGGCCCCTGGACAACGCTGGGAAGAGTCCAGGGTAGATCAGAAATGCCAGCACTGGTGTCAGAGACCTGAAAGTGGCTGACAGGCCCATTCTCCTTTGATGAAAACCATGAATCGTCACTCCTGTGGATCCAGCCTATCCCCCACCCCCAACACCTACAGAACTTCCAGGTGGCCTATCCAGAGATCTCAACAGGGTGCAGTAAGAGACGTGCAGGAGAGACAGACACGTTGCTCAGCTGTAGGTGGCCCCCTCCCACCCCTACCCCTACCCCTTGCTTTTCTATTTTGGCAAAAATACAAACAAAAATCATGGGAGCTTCAAGAAAAGGACGTAAACGTCAGAAAACGGAAGAACAAACAGCAGCCGGGGCTCGGACCTCACTGGGTGAGCCTTGGGGGAGCATCTTGGCTACAGCAAGGTCAAGTCCATGTGTCAAGGCCCCTGCAGGAGCCACAGCCAGCCTCCGAGTGATAGACAGACAGGAGGGGGCAGGAGGAACCTGGAGGAGGCCCAAATGTCTACAGTGAGGGGAACAGGGTGTGGGGCACACACAGAGAAGGCAGAAGGCCCATCACTACTGTGACATGAAGAGGGAACAGGGCATGGGGCCGGGGCTTCCACACATGAATGCACACTCACACACACATGAAGGCAGGAGGCCCACTGCTACAGACAGGAAAAGGATGTGGGGTGTGGGGCCGGGGCTTGCACAAATGAATGCATACTCACACACATGCATACGCATGCTTACACACACACACACACACACACACGATAGGAGGCGTGACAGGACCAAGGTGTGTAGCTGGGCCTTGCACACATGTTGACACACATGCACACTCAGGAAGGGCAGGGAATAGGCACGCTCTACCAGGGGACAATGGGAGGCAGCCCTGAGGGCCTCACTGAGGGGCTGGCCTGAGGAGGCACAATGGATGAGGCTGTGTGCACACCTGGACAGTAGTCCAGACGGCTCTGCCCTGTGGACGGGTCAGTCAGGGGCCCTGTCTGACCCAACACCCGCCCCCGTGGTGGTGGCAGGGTGGAGTCCATCTGTAAAGGTGGCCAGGAGGGTGTTTGGTGGCACTGCCGAGAGCCATCTGTCCTTCCCACTGAGGGAGCTGGCTGCTCAGGTGAAGCCTGTGGTGGGCAGAATGCTCCAGGCCAGGGGCTGACCCAGAGTGACATGCTGCACTTGGCAGGTGACAGCATTGCCTTGAAGAGGGTCAGTCTGCGTGACAGACGTCACCCACTCAAGCTTGTGCACTTACTCCAGCACAGAGCCCCCCCCACCCCACAGGACAGACTGGAGCCTCCAGACTGGGCAGGTGGAGCTGGGGGCAGCGCAGCAAGGCAGAAAAGGCAGACACAAGATGGGGCCTCCTCCACTGTGGCGTCCAGGGTCGCGGGGTGGTCGGGGATAGTAGGCCAGCCACGGCCAGACTCTGCTAATTCCTCAAGGCTGCCAACCTAAAGGAAGAGCAGATTTGTGTGGGGACAGGGACCAGGCTGGGTGGTGAGAAGCTGGGCCAGAGCCAGCAAGATGGTGCCCCAGGCGGGGACACATGGGACGAGCTGACACTGGTGGGCTCTAGAAGGTCAAGTCGTCTTCAGAGGCCAACCCTCGTCTTCCACCAGAGAGTCCACCTCCCACACCACCACCACCACAGTGGACACTGGACAGGGAAAAACACACCTCCGCGACAGCTGGTCTTCCTGGCTGCGCACCGAGCTCTCGCCCACAGCAGAGGCCCCCTCAGGGAGCTGGCTCAGCTGGTCCAGGACTTCCAGGCCGTTCTCTTCTGCGATCTGCATGATGAGGCTGTCCACCTGCTCCTGTGGTGTGGTGAGTGTGGTGGCGGAGCTCATGGAATCTTCCATCACCTGTGGGAGCCGGGACGGCAACTGACAAGGCTGTCTGGCCCGAGGCACTGCCTCTGCACCCCACCAGCCTGTCTCTCTAGGACACTCATTCCATGTCCAGCTCTCCTAGAAATCATACCCGTAATGTACCCTGGACCTCCAGCTGGGACCCAGCCCGAGAGAACACAGATCCTGAGGGACAGGAAGGATGGGTGATGACAGGGCAGGACGGACCCAAGACAGGAGGGAAAGGAACAGGAATTATGAGCACAGGCAGCACAGTCCAACCCTCACACGCGCCCGAGGTCGGCAGCACATACCGAGGTGTGCACATCCAAGTTCTGGACCTGCTGTTCAAACTTGTCCATGACTGCAGACACCTTCTGCAGGTCCATGGCACTCAGCGCCTTGTCCAGGGCCTTGGTGACCTGGGCCATATTCTTAGTCACCTGTAATAGAGAGGCCATATTCTTAATCTCTAGAACACAGTTTCCTCTTGGAGACAGAACAGCCTCAGGCACAGGAGGACACAATTCAATCTATAAATCTCTAGGCTTTATCACACACAAAACTCAAAGACCCTGACACACAGCACTGCTAATGCCCTAAATCACCTTCAAGCTCATCCTCTGAAGCATCTAAATCAGACATGAGTGAGGCTTTAGCACACTCCATCCTGGGACAAAATGCCTCTTTGTCTGTGAACATGGACAGTCTGGAATGCAGGTGATCTCCCGAAGGACAACATGGGGCAGACACAGACGGACACGCAGACACTTCCGTCATGTGGGAGGCATCGGAGGGGAAAGAGGGCGCTGGCAACAAGCCTAACTCTAACCCAGCAGAAGTGACAGGAGCTCTCCAAGCCTGGAGGGAACCTCTTCTCAACACCCAGGCTTTGGGTCTTCAGTTCCAGCTTCTGAACCGGGTGGGATAGCCACTTAGTCTGCCTGAACTTTGGGTGACCTACTGCCCTGGACCATTTGATTGGGGACCCAATGCTCTCATCCCCAACTGGGCCATTTTTCTGCCCAACAGGCATAAGGTGGTCCCTCCCCTTGGGTACCACAGCCTGCCCACATAATCCTGGGTGATGGTCCTGCCCCGGCACAGTCATCAGTTCAAAGGGGAAACCCACCAAGCAACAAATGCTGGCAAGGTTGTGGCGAAACTGGAACCCTTATTCACTGTTGGTGGGACTGTAAAATGGTGCAACCATTCTGGAAGGCAGTATGGAGCTCTCTCAAAAAGTCGGAAACAGAAATACCATTTGACCCAGCAATTCCACTACTGGGAATAGACCCTAAAGAGACCATAACTGACATCCAAGCAGATATATGCACACCCATGTTTATTGTGGCTTTGTTCACAATAGCAAAGAGTTGGAAACAACCCAAGTGCACATCAGCAAATGAATGGCTAGAGAAGCTGTGGTATATTCGCACAATGGACAACTATGCAGCATTGAAAAACAAGGAACCCGTGAAATATTATACAAAATGGGACGTTATGTTGAGTGAAATTATCTCACACACACACACACACACAACAAATACTGGTGAACTCTCTGGCGGCCTAGTAGAACGCAGCTGCAGTGTAATCCCAGAGGTGAGCAGTTCAAATCCACCAGATGCTCTGCTGAAGAAGGAGAAACAAGGAACAAGCTCCTCCTGTACCAGTCAGATCCGATTTGACGGTACACACACAAAAATAATAAAAATAAAAGATTCTTTACCAGAAAAAAAAGAGGACAAATATTGCATAATGCTACTGTTATAAAACAGGGCTGACCTGGAGTTTGGGGGGGAAACTAAGAAAAGGGGATATATAATGTACACTGCAATTAAACAGATGAGGAATAAAACTGCTAAAAGGAAAATAAGCTTAGGTATTATTTGCATGACAACAGTCCACAGTAAGAGCTGCATAGTAAAGTGGACTGGGGGGGTTTGTACAACAACAAAATAATCTTTTTTTATAGAGAGAAGCTGGGGGGGTGGACAGGGAGGAAAATGCGCAACAATGAATGAATGGATGGAAATCCAAGTTCTCTATAAACTGTCACTAAAATCTCAATTAAAAAAAACACTAATAAAAATCTTGAAAAACCAAAAGGGGAAAACCAGGAGGTCCTCAACCCCAAGAAGGTTCTACTGTGTGTCCCCCTGACAGTTCTCATCTCATCCTTCCCTGATCTTGAAGAACAGACACTGCTATTCTGGCCGGGTTCTGCCTGGAGAACTCCAAAAGGTCGACAGCACAGGACGCTGCCCTTCATTCTCTGTCCCTGCCAGTCTAGGTGGATGGACTTTCTGATGTGGTATCCAGGTCCAATCAGATGTAGGCTTATGCTAACAAAAGACTGTGCAGCCATATCCTAGATGAAAGTTCTAGGACAAGTGTAACTTAATTTGCACAATATAATTTTCCAGATCTTTCAGCTATGTTTTCATTTGCATCGTTCATGTTAAAATCCCTATCTTCCCTCTCATATTTACTGTTAGCAACTAGGAGAAACCATACAGTCCTCTTAAAATCTGCTTAGAAATCCCAGTTAAATATCCAATTTCTAGCTGTGCCAGACATGTGAACACAATTCAGACAAGCTCCCTGCCTCTGCGTAAGGAGTGTCCCTGTTCCCCTTGGGCCAGTCACACGTTAATATTTTCTGTGAGGCACCTGGGGCCACTTGGCCGTTGCTGGGCTGTGTATGTTGTTTAGGGCGATGGGGACTTTCTCTTCAGCTCTCCCCTCAAGTCCTTCTAGCCTAGGCACTACGTGGATCTTAACCCACCCCCTCTCTGTTGGCTTTTTCAATCACATTTTATTACCTCACAAGAGATTCATGCTAGACACAGCCCGCAGTGACAGTGTCTCACTGACAATGCAAAGACAACCTTTTGTTTGTTGGGTTTATTGTAAGTGTATAGTCACAGAGATTAGGTTTACAGCACCTATCCTTGGGGACAAAATTCAATCCATGAATGTCCCCAAGACCAGGGAGGGACCGTCTAGGTTTCCAGGCTCCTGGGCAGTGGTCCCTCTAACCCAGCCTGGGCTCAGAAGGCACTCTGTGAGGTCTGAGGCCAGAAGTGTGCTGTGCCTTGTGGTCCACCTACCTGCTTGCCCAGAGGACTAGAGCCTGACAGGATTTCTCCACCCCCACATGTGGTCCCAGTCTGCCAACAGGTGCTGGCCACGCTGGTCAATGAATATGAGCCTTGGGCTGGCTGAGCTACTCACCCCCTTCATGGTCACGGCAGTCTGGACCTTGGAGGCCACGGCATCCACGCGGGAGGCCATGCGCAGGCAGTTCACCCCCTCATTCTTCTTGCGGATGGCATTCTCAGCATAAACACGTGCACACTCCACATTCTTCTGCTGAAGAGCCTGGAATTTGGGGACAGGCCAGTTGAGAGGACTGTGGTCTGCAGACACAGGACTTTCACACACACCTTGAGAAAATGGCTCATCTGAAATTCAGGGAGCTACCCGAACACACAGAACAGGCCAGAGCAGAAACAAAGTATAGGCCAACTTCACTGCCCGCCACCAATGCAAAAGGTTAGCCAGAGAGCCCAGTCAAGACTACCTGCCTACCACCCAGGCCACCCTGGCCTCTCCCATCATGAACCTACAGAGGACCAGAACAGGAGATGCATGCACCAGAATGCCAGACGCTCTGCCCAAGGACCTGGATTTGGTGAGCAGATGCCCTGAGACAATTCTATTGGCGAGGCCCCCAGGATTCAGGAGCATGAGGTCCAGCAGGAGCCAACCATGGTAGCCTCACCTTCTTCACTTTGGCTTGTTCAGCCTTGGACTCCTTTTCTGCCTTCTTGGCCAGTTTCTCTAGCTGCTTTGCTGTGAACTGAGAATGGACACTGGTTAGAGGCATTACCGAGGGGTCAAGACCAGCCAGGGCCCCTCACAGCCACCCCCAGAGGTTCATCATGTGTGTTTATGTCATCAGGAACCTAAGGGATACCAGAAGATACAAACCCAAGTTCTGAGCTGTCTTGTCTGTGAAAATGGGCAGGAAGAGCTCCCTAAAGTGTCTGCCCTCCCCTCAAACATCCCTCAAATCTTAGCATTGCTCCTAACCTCTGCTGGTGGACCGATGGGATTCTGGTTCAGATAGCAGGTTCTCAGATGCTGTGTATATTACAGCGCTGACTCTGGACACATGATCCCCACAGCACACAGTCCGTCCACCTCTCCAAGGACTGAGCTCTCCCACCTGCAGTCTGGCTCTGTCTGGACAAAGCTGTCACGGCCACCTCATCTGTGGCTGCATCTCTCTCCCTGAGCATATACTTTCTACCAACTCCCACCTCACACTGTACTCACAGAGCATCTACCAACTCCTGACAGCCAATCATGAGATACCAGGTCAACATCCGCTGCCAAAACTCTCCTTCCTCCAAACTTCCTAAGCCTGAACATGTGGTTATTTCATTTATAACAGCTAAAATGAAACATGAAAAATCCCATTCACCATTAGCAAAGGCTCCTGGTCAGTGCAGCACCCGGGGACCCGCACAAAACAGGCCCAAAGGAGAATCCTCAGCAGTCTGTGTTGATACGACCCCTGTGAGTCCAGAGGCCCCCATCCCAGGCTCTACTCTCACCAGTGTGCTCTGGTGATAGGCTCAGCCCTAGCACCTCACATGGGCTCCAGATCACCTCACGTGGTCCAAGTTCTCTGAATTGTGATAAACCAAAGAAATCAGAATGTGAGCAACAGACAGGGCCATCAGGAGATCTTAAAAAGCCCTTCCGACTCCAGCACAGAGTAGAGGAAGCCGTGCTGTCTGGACGGATCTTTCAAGGGGACCATGGAGGGCTTGCAGTGACTGTGGAAGGTCCAGCGGTGCACCCAGGCACATACAACACTGAGTTATGCTTCTCAGAGATAAGACACTTAGCCCTAAGTGAGCCAGCCCTCTCACACCCAACAGAAAATCAACTGGCCAGCTCAAGGTCAGCATCTGAGGGAGCACAGATAGGTCACCCAGCGACCAGCCTGGCTGGCCCTGCTTTCCGGGGCTTGGGCTGGTGCAACTCATGGCTCATCCTCACCATGACCAATGGGCCAAACCAGGGGAGTGGTTACGCAGTACGTACCTTCAACTGGAACAGGTTATCTGCAACGAGAGAGAAAGCAGTGAGGGTCTGGGAGTGGAATGAAGAGTTGCTGTGGCTCTCTGGTACTTGGGGTGGGAGCTAGGCAGACACCAGTCAGGGTGACCAGGCCTTCAGGGGCTAGCTGGGCCAGCAAGATGACCAGGCCAGGGAGGACCCCTGAACCTGCCTCCTCACTAGAATGGCACCAGCCTGTCTCGAAGGATTGTAGTGCAGATGGGGGAGTGAGTGAACAGACACAGTACTTGGCAAATATCAGGCATTATGCAGATGATACAACCCTGCTCACTGAGAGGATTTGAAGCACTTGCTGTAGAAGATCAAGGACTACTGACTTCAATATGGATTACATCTTAAGAAGAAGAAAACAAAAACCCTTACCACCAGGCCAAGAGGCAATATCATGTTGCTGTAATTGCTGTTATGTGACATCGAGTGTCCTGTAACTCATAGGAACCGCTATCCTGAGCCAGTCTCACTGACTCTGACACATCTACCCCCATTACCGCATCAATCCATCTCAGCCAGGGCCATCTTCTCCTTCACTGTTCGTCGGTCCTTCTAAGCATGATGTCTTTCTCCAAGGACTGGTCCCTTGTGGTCACAAGCCCAAAGTACGTGAGACAGAGCTTCAAAATACTTAAGAAGAAATTCGGTTTCATCCTCTCCCAAGACAGACCTGTTTGTTCTCTTAGCAGTCCATGGTATGTTCAGTACTCTTCTCCAGCACCAGAACTCAAAGGCACTGATTCTTCTTCTAACATCCTTAGTCACTGTCCCAATCAAAGAACCCTTGGGATTCTCCCAACTTAGTAAGGCTCAGCCTTGTACAGTCCATTCTTTATGCAGTTAAGTTCCTGGGTTACAAACATCCACCTCATGGTCAATGCAACAAAAACCTGCTCTCATTCTAAAGACGGAACAATGTGTCCAAAGCAAACACAAATACCCTCCTGTCACTGGAGCTGAGTGACCCCACAGGGTAGGGCAGCGCTGACCCACAGGGTTCCAAGGCTGCACATCTTCAGAGGACTGCTACTCTTGCGGAGTGGCAGCTGGTAGATTCGAACTGCCCATCTTTTGGTTAGCAGACTAGCACTTTTAAACACTGCTCCACTCTAGTTTCCGACACAACTCTTACTCCAAACAAAATTATTCCTTACAATCACCTTCATTTGCTACATATGCAGCTTCTAAACCACTGATGAGGTTTTGAACCTTTTCTTGCACTAAAGTAAGGTTAAACAACAACCATGTACACCTACTCCAACTTGGGCATAAAGTCAAAGTGAAAATACATCCGTTCATAACCTAGTGAGTGCCTTCCTCTTGCCACTGAAGGGTAAACAGACAAGACAGCCAAGAAGTGAGTGACTGCCTCCAGAGTCACCGTCCAGGGGCACAGTGCACACCTTGGTGGCACCACCTCCAACCTCTTCTCGTTCCAGATCAAGGTGAATCCAGTGTAATTTTTTCTATTTCCCTTAACATCCAACTCTTGTTACTCACTCATCAAATCCAAGAGCAAGGCAGGCAGACTCATCTGAGTATCTGTCAATTTACTCAATCAATCTCAATTTACTCAGTTCCCCAAGGTGGAGCATACAGGACATGGGATTACCTGAAGGGTTCCCCGGCTAGACTGGAACAGAAAATGAAGAACAGAATGCAGGTGCCTGGTGTTTACTGATGCAAATATAGTCCTCGGCTGAGGATCATGTAAGCCCTGGATAAACCGGTTACCTTCCTTTCCAGCCTCAGCTTTCCCACCCAAGGCCCAGCCACTGGCTGGGACTGCTAAGAACACAAGGGGCCAAGACCAACCTGGGAAAAAGATATGGGTCAAAGTCAAGTTTCCTCAAGAGCAGATTGAACTACAGGCCAAAATCCTACACAACTGTATACTGCTTTGGACTACATGTATGTAGACACATGTATCTATGAGTCTTTTATTTCTGTGTTGTCCTTATGTGCTGTTGAGTCGCCTGTGACTCATAGTGACCTTATGTACAGTGGCTGTGAACCCTGCCCTATCCTAAACCAGTCTCACCGACTCCGATATATCTGCCCCCACTGGCCCAGACAGAGTGTCAATCCACCTCAGCTGGGGTCTCCCTCTCCTGTGCCATCCCTCCACCATTCTAAGCATCAAGTTTTTCTCTAAGGTCTGGTCCTCCTGGTTGCATGCCCAAAGCATGTGAGAAGGAACTTAAAAATCCTAGCCTCCAAGGAGAGAGCTTTGGTTTCATCCTCTCCAAATTAGATCTATTTGTTTTCTTTGTGGTCTACAGTATATTCAAGATTCTTTTCCAGCACTACAACTTAAAAAGGCATCGATTCTTCTTCTACCATCCTTAGTCACTGTCCAGCTCTCATCATAGCAAGTAATTGCAAAGACCATGCAGGTGCACCTTAGTCTCTAGACGACGGACATCATTACTTCTCAATATTCTGAGAAGTCAGAGTCCCTGTCAGGTCCCTGACAACAGATTTTCTCAGTGCAATTCGAAGAGTGTTGACTGTGGAGCCAAGCAAGCTGTAATTGTTAACCTCAATCTCTTCTCCATCTATCATAGCGCTGTCAACTGGCCCACGGTTGAGAATCATTGTCTTCTTGATGTTGAGCTTCAATCCATATTGAAGATTAGGGTCCCTGACCTTCTGCAGTAAGTGCTTCAGGTCCTCCTCCGTTTCATCAAGCAAGGCGGTGTCATCTGCATACCGTAGGTTGGTGACGGGTCTTCCTCCAATCCTGATGCCACAATCTCCTCATAAAGCCTGGCCTCCCGAATGATCTGTTCTGCGTATGCTATGCGGACATTGATGTCATTTATTTATACCTTATGTGCTGATAAAGTATGGAGACAGGACACATCCCTGATGCATTCTCTCCCAGATTTTGAACCCTGCTCGTATTTGCGTACACACGCACTATCTATACCAGAGCCCATATTATGTGTGTCTATGTATTTACCTCTTGGGAAACCTGACGGCGGGTGGAAGGGATCTGCCCGCCGCTTTTAGTCTCAATCACAGCAGCCTCTAAGCATTTTGGCAAACACAAGCGCCGCCTTCTCCGAGCTGACTCTGCTCCTCTCCCGCCACGCCCCAACACCCGACAACAGAGGCGCAGGGCGGGCGGACCGGGACCCCGCACTCTCCCTGTAGGGTGCACAGCCCTTCTCCGGGAAGATGGGGTGCGCCCGCCCCACAGCAAGCTCTTCCATCACTCCCACTGAGCACCCGAGGAGAGGCCAGCCACTCCCCTCTCCGTCCTCAGCTGCCACCTGACCCGACACTCCCGGGCCCCAAAGGCCGACGGGACGTGGTCCCCAGCGTCCGAGCTCGCGAGGCCGAGGAGTGCTGGTCAGAGAGCCGGGAGTCGGAGTCCAGCCTGGGTAGACGGAAAGGGCCGAGACCGAGGTCCGTCTTCCGTCGGGCAGCCGGAGCCCAGCCCGCAGCCCCGAAGCAGACAGGCCGCGGCCCCGCGCCCGAGGCAGGAAGACGCCGACCCTCGGCTCCCCTCGGCCGGGGAGACCTCTTACCGTCCATGTCCGGTGCTGGAGGCTGCGCCCTCGGAGAGGCGCTGACAGCTGAGCTCGGGGACGCGGGCTTCCACTACGGCTCCGGCCGCGAGCACTTCCGTGGTCCCCTTCCGCTTCCGGTCTCGCGGCGCATCTCGCGACAGGAGGGTGAGCGGCTCTCGGCGGTCCGCCAGGGGGCGCGCCGGGGCGTGCGCGCTCGGGGGGGCGGGGCGGTTGCCGGGGCAACCTGCCCGGCGTCGGCTGCCGTTGTAAGGAGGGCCCGCTTTGTGAGTCACGTGGTGCTAGGGCTGGCACGCAGCGCGTGGCAGGGACTCGGCCCAAGGCAGCCGGGCCTGCCGCCTCACTTATGGGACTTTCCACGAGCAAACCTAAGGTTAGGAAAGGTAAAAGCCTCTCTGCACAGGTTCTGCACCTCCATACCTTTATACCGGGCCCTCGCTGTACACAGGTACCCACCCCATCGTACTATACACAGGTCTCATACTACCACAGACCATACTGGGCTATTTACAGGTGTCCCGCTGTACACAGGTGGCACTCAGTGGGGTTCCAGACATGTTAAGTACCCCATCAGGTGCCAGGACCTAGGAGGCACTCTGATAGCCCCAGGAGCTGCAGGGCCGGCTCTCAGTTTGATGCTGTGTTCCGGCTTCTCAAAGTGCTTTGTAATGTGCACAAAACAGTTAGAAATACCCACGGTGCCCAAGGACACAGAGTGACCTGGGTGTTTTTTCAGTGCTCTCACTTCATTCTGCACACAGTCAACTGACCTACCACCCTAAGCACAGTCGACAGTAGGCTAATTACCTGTAAATTTCAGGCGAGGTGCAACAGAAGGAGGCTACTGTTTCCAAGCCTAAGGAGAAGGTGCAGGAGAAGCTCTCCTCAGTGACCAGAGAGGCAGATAGAGAACCTCCTGGAGACAGCCTCTCTAAGTCTGCAAAGAACTTGCCCCAGAGGTCATCCTTGTCATCTGAAGTTGAAGGTAGGGGACATTGGCAGAGGCCAAGAAAAGTTTGGAAACCTGAAAAATGGAGCATTAATAGCAGTAATACACTCAACAATGAAAAGAATTTGTTTTAGTATATCTAACTCAAACTCATGCATTTGAGCTGTGGTGCTAGAGAGGAGTATCAAATATACCATGGGCTGCTAGGAGAACAGACTTCCTAGAGGGGATTCTGAAGCTTCATCTGACATACTTTGGGCATGTTTCAAGGAGAGATCAGTCCATGGAGAGGCGTGGAGGGACAGCGCATGGGAAGAAGACCCTGGATAAGATGGATTGATTCAGTGACTAGGGTAATGGGGGCAGGTATGTCAGAGACAATAAGGTTGGTACAGGATAGAGCAGGGTTTAGGGCAGTTGTGACTTGATGGCACATAACAACAACTCAAACTCATTGCTGTGTACTCAGACCTTACCCTCCAGTGGTTTTCAGAGGCTATAAATGCATGGGAGGAGACTGCTCATTGTTATTCTGCAAATCTACTGGTTGCTGTGAACTGTCAGAAAGGTGCCATTTTAGGGTTAGCAGTGAAGTTCCCCCATGGACTAGGCCACCAGAGATCCCCTGATTTAGGATGTCCAGAAATCTATGAGTTAAGACCCCAAATATGTTCCCATATGGCAAGGGCAGATCCACAGGGAATCAAGAGACACGTATGGGGCCTGTTTCTTGATGACAGCCATCCCGTCAACATTTCCTGGACTGGAATAGAACCTGGAAAGAGTCTCAGCCAGCTGTGGGCTCTAGGGGGGGAAATGACGTGTGGCTACAGAGAGACTAGGACACAGTGTACAGAGGGTGAGATTGTTTTCAATAAGACAGAAATGTTAGAACGTCTACTGAAAAAGTGATCCAGTTTCTTCACCAAGTAAACGGCAAGGGAAAAAAGGAAAGGTTTGAGATGTGTTCCAAAATTGATGTGGACCTGTCACAGCTAAACATGAGATCATGAGATTGGCTATCAGATGAGTCTCACCACTGTCCACGTGCACAGTATGATGGTGTTACAGGGACTGTTGAGAAAATAACTCTTTGGTAGAAGAACATACTGCGGTATTTATGGTTGAGATTCCACCATTGCTTTAACATACAAAGAAAGAAAAACAGACAAAACAAAGTTGTAACCATTGATGGAAGCCAGCAAGCACAAGGAAAGAAGTTTTCCTCAACATTTTCATGTTGAAGTGCTAGTTTTAGAAGTTGGCTTTTCTAGAAAAGTTTAATACCGTTATATACTAGAGTGATTAATTAAATTGTGGATTTTGCCTCTTCTAAAATATATTGGGAAATTCTCTCCAAAAGAACTATTTAACCTTACAGTAGCTAGAAAGAACTGACTCCAAGGGTTAAAATGAGACTGTTTTGAGGCAGATAGCTGTTATCCCAACTGATTTAGTATTTTTTTTTTGTGTGTGTGTGTGTGTGTGTGTGTGTGTGTGTGTGTGAGTGTACCGTCAAATCAGATCTGACTGGTACAGGAGGAGATTGTCCCTCCTTTTCCCGGCAGAGCATCTGGTAGATTCGAACCGTGAGCCACAGGGATTGTAGTTGCAGCTCCTTGCCACTAGGCCACCAGAGCTCCCCTTGATTTAGTATTTTCAGTAATTGAGAAAATGTCCACCAAATTTAGTTATTAGTGATTTATATGTACATTTTTATCTTTTTTTAAATGTTAATGAAAATTTAGAGAGACTTTGGATTTCCATTCATTCATTGTTGCAAATATGTACATTTTATAGATTACATATTTTAGCATCACACAGACAAAAGGTTATGTATTGTGTGATTCCAATAATACAAGCCTATCCAAGTAAGAACATTTCATTAAGATGGAGAGAAAACTGAAGGGATTAGGCATGGAGAAGGGGTGTGGACACAGGACACATGGATGTTAGAAGATAAAGGGTGTGGGCACAGGACAGAGATGGTGAAGGGGTGGACACTGGACAAGGACAGGGATGGAGGAGAAGGTGTGGACACAGGGACAGTGGTGGAGAAGGGGTGTGGACACAGGGACGGGTGGAGAAGGGGTGTGGACACAGGGACAGGAGTAGAGAAAGATGTGGACACAGGGATGGGATGGAGAAGGGTGTGGACACAGGGACAGGGGTGGAGAAGGGGTGTGGACACAGGGACAGGAGTGGAGAAGGGGTGCGGACACAGGGACAGGAGTGGAGAAGGGTGCGCACACAGGGATGGGATGGAGAAGGGTGTGGACACAGGGACAGGGGTGTGGACACAGGGACAGGGGTGGAGATGGGTGTGGACACAGGGAC